GGGAAAGAAGATCATGACATTTCTTATAATGATGAAGATAAAAAAATTATCTTCTTGAAATTCCATAAATTAGCTAAAAAGTGAATGAGCCCTTATGTTATGACCCCAGGAAGGCACAACAGGAATGTGATTTTTGTCTTCAGGTTTTAGAGAGAAACTTCCTAGAAAAACTGGTTATCTCTGGCTGCTATTAAGCAAGTCTCAACATTCTGTGCGTCTGTCCTTTAAAACAAGATAAACATGTATAGATGTTGTTATAAAATTGCATGAGTGCTTTTAATTCTAAGAAAGCCATGGGTCTTTGCTCTGTGCATAAAACTTGAGGTTTCTGCCAAGAAAATGTCCTTAAGTGGAACAACTGCTCTAGAAGGCATCTGTTCTGAGCAGGTAGAACAATGATGAAAACCTCACGCACAGTACTTTTGACAACGCCTTCTCTTATTTCGCTTGCTTGATTTTTTAAAAGCCATTTAAATCACAGCTTTATTTAACAGGGTAAAGAAAAGCCACTTGACTTGGCTTGCGATAAGGCAACCATATGAAACAGCATGGGCCAAATTAATAAAATACATGCTTTGCATTTAGGCTACAATGAACCAAGTAATCTAATGGGAGTAGAACATGGTAACAGAAATCCCAGGGATTTCTCCAGGGTTCTCATGTGCTTCAGGACTGTACAATAACCGTCACCAGCGGCACAGAACAAGCGCTGGTTTGTAGCCTTCGCTGTCCAATAATAGAGTTATCCTTTCCTTATTGACATTTCAATACTGTTTTCTTTATTCCTATCAGGAAACCAGTCCTATTTCAACATTTTAAGTACTTTGTAAGTGTATCCCTCTTTCTTAGAAAGATAGCACATAATATGGGAATGCCAATGTAATTCTGCTACCTTCTTTTGTGTTCCTAAGGATGGTTTGTTAAGAATAAAGGGAGACTGGGACGCATGGGGAAAAGGCGAGCCACTAAGTGAAACTGCCACTACCCAAATTACTCATCGTTTAGTTTAGAACAAGGATCCTGGCTACAGAAGGAAAAGTAGGTCATTTAGTTTATCACAACTGTACCTCATTAATTGGTAAACAAACATTTCTTGAGGTTTGAATTAGGTGATAAGCAACTAAGTTATCCTAATTCCGAACCATAGTTTACTGCCCCAATCCTCAGAGGCTATATATCATTTTTGGGGGCCTGTGAAGAAAAATTTTTCCAACATGAGTAATACTGATACTACAACCAAATATGGCATGCTATCCTTTGGGAAAAAAACAACTAATGTGATATTGCAATGTAAAGATAAAAATTCTCACACATGTATCTATGAAAGAAAATAAATAATATAAAAATCTATCAGAAACATAATCAATATTAAATACATTTTGTTTAAGTTACAGCCTTTGTTGATTATATCAATAAAGTCTTATCAACAAAGAGTTCCATCTAATTCTGTTAGGTCCAGCCTATTGCTGATACCTGAGTGGCTCACTTAGAGAAGGAGGTGATACTCCTGGCTAACAAACATCCAGTGAACTGCAAAGAACATCCCTTTGCAAAACACCAAAGGTTCCTTCCTCTCCCAGGACAAGCAAGCTGATGGATCTCTTCAAGGTCACCCACACTGTGTGCATTTCTCACACAACTCATATAATTTCCATGCCTTTCACCCGCTTCGGCCCGCTAGAATTTTCTCCTCTCCAACATCCAGCTCAAGGCTCCACTCTCTCAATTCCCATCAATTGTTTGAGAGCACCTTGGCCTTCACTACCTCTGATACCCCAGGATTCCTATTGTCAACAAAACAGCTTAACACTCACGAGCACACATAAAATCCTGTAGCCTTCAGTGATTCTGTCTGAATTGGAATCTCGTGTATCCTTAAGGCCTAAACCCCTTGAAAGCAGAGGCTATGCCACATGCTACTTGCATGATCTCAGTCCCCAATGCCACATATTTATGTACAACTGAAATCATTATAAGAACTCAGAAGTAATTTTTTACATTAATGGGTTAAACATAATCTAGATGTAAGGATTTTCTTCCACCACCACCTCAATCCCACAATTCCAAAATTTGGGGGCAAGATTTTTTTTTTTTTTTTTTTGGCCATGCCACGTGCCTTGTGGGATCTTAGTTCCCCAACCAGGGGTCAAACCTGGGAATTCCCACAGTCCAAGATTGCTTGCATTTAATAGCAGAGAAGATGTCAAGGATTGTCAGAAAATGTAGACTGTTTCCAAGGTTTTGTTTTAAAATAATTATTTCTCTAGATCAGCATTCATACAGAGAAGTTCAAAGGGATGCCAACGAGGGTCAAGCCCTCAAAACCTTCGTAGGTCAACTAGGTTCAGAAATGCAGGTTCAGTCTGATGAGAGGCGAGGAGACACACACACATGGAAATGGGGCTGTAAAGATAAGCTGGATCTATATTGGGCCAGGTCTTGAAATGAACCGTCAGTACTTAATTTAGTAGATAGTACAAACCTGAAAAGCTTAACAAGAGAGTGAAATAAATAAGGCAGTATAAATAGCATATTACAATGACAGCAATCCTATATAGTTGTCGTTCTTTCCTCACACCTCACACTGAAAGATTTCTGGGACAAGGAGTCTTTTGCCCATTATTTACAGCCTATTGACTACAGTGAGCTACTTACAAGTTAGATGGCCAAAGACCCTGATGTCTGCAAGCCCTAACCCCAGTCAGTGCTTCAAGAGACATGAATGATCAGTGACTTCTTCTGAAACAGAAAGTTCTCTTCCATATGCTAATGATGTCATTGATTGATGGTTGGAAACTGCCACAACCTATATCAGAAAGATATAGAGCTAAATGACATTTGACTCCTGGAGATTACTCTAAGGACATATACTTTATAAAGCCCTTGATTTTCACTTCCCACTTGGAGAGCTAAACATCGGGTCACAACAGAGTCCAAGTAATCCTGTTAACCAGCAAGCGTTTAACGAGTAACAATTCCTACACTGCACATCATAGGTGCTTTGAGGGATATTAGAGGAATGAGGCATGATCTCTGACCTCAAGAAACTTAACACCCTGTAACAGAGACAGATATATACGTGAATAACTAATATCAAGGGGACTGTGATGAGTGTCAAAGCACAGATAGAAACAAAGAGCTATATTCAGTCAACAAATATTTAAACAAATACTGTGCGCTACTTTGTTGAGGTACAAAAATAAATTAGACATGCTGCCTTTCAGACAACAATAAATGGAACTTATACACATTCTGTGATGTGCAGAGACGCCCCAAAGAGGGAAATATGAACTGGTAAAGAAGAGAAGTTTCTCAGAGAGGGAAATCTAGAAGGCTGAATATAGGCACCCAGCTGACAGGGTGAAGAAATGGCATCCCAATAGGGAGAACCGTGTGTGCAAAAAGCATTGGAGTACACAGCTCGCTTGAGGACTGGAGCATCATAGGACTGTTCTGTCACCCAGCTCAGTAGTTTGTCCACAGAAAGAGACAGTGGGACACAGGATGATACAGGGTT